GGGGGGGGGGGGGGGGGGGGGTTGAGTAGTTTTTTGCGGGTTCAGGTGGGCAAATGGTTGAATTGAAAAACTCAGTGAATTCGTCAGACAATTCTATTGAATTTCTATTGAACTTTCTTTTTGGGATGATTCTGGGGATGTGATCAGTAGCGACTGGACTGTAGAAAAAGGGAATAGAATTCGGTTTTTCTGTGTAACTTATTCTATTGAGGTATTTTATGTATAAGTTTCGCGCATTTAATTTTCCAAGTTTTTTGTTTGATTTTTTTACCTACCCATTTTGAATGGCCTGCATGCACGAAATGTGGCTGTACCCTTTGTAGCAAATGAGTTCCGGCTTCAGCAGCTGCGCCTTCAGCGCAATCTGTCCAACAATAACACTTCAATTACTCCCAGCCCAACCTCCCTCTCCCTCCCCCGCCCTTACCATCATCTTGAAGCACTTCTCCAGTTCCGGTTCCGAAGTGACGCAAAGTGTCATCCGATTGACGGTGCACTCCCTCACCCCGAGAATAGCGTTCTGCGCCCTTCCCAGATACTCCGAGTACTTCTGGTCCTTCTCGACGAGCGGCGCAAAGCCCCTAGCCGAGTCCGAGAACATGAGATTGTGCTGCAGCCCATACTTGGGCGCCGACTCAAACAGACTGAACACCTCGAGCGGCTGCACAGCCAGCGGATCAGTGGCATTATAAGTCCCCTCCCCATCGAGCCGCGCGTTCCCAAATCTCGCGGGTGAATTGTAGGCGTTGGGGTCCCACGCGTTAGGCCGGTTGTTGTCCGGAGAAGTCAAGTCAGACCTCTCCCTACCGTCGCTATCGAATCTGCCGCCACCATACCCCACCGAATTATCGGACTTGCCCTCCCTCGAGGGATTGTAGCCACTCCCAGACGTCCCATTCCCCATGTTGAAGATCTCAACAGCCTTCTTCAAGAACTTCTGGTAGACCCTTCTCACATCGAGATTGATCGCGGAAGACACGACGACAGCGCGTGACGGAACGCTCCCCCAATTGCAGTCGTTGTAACTGTCGACGGGCTTTCGCGATCCGTCTCTGCACAGCAACTCAAACTGATCCTTGCTGACAGACGTGAAGTCAAAGTTGGTGGAGGTCATTTCGTGGACGGTTGTGTGAAGCAGAAAGGCGATTTCGCCGGCTTCGACGAGGCACCTGAAGGCCCCCTCGTAACCCGCGTAAGGGTCGGCATTGGTGCACCTGCCACTGGGAATTTCCCCGACGCAGAGACGACAGAGCTGATCGGAATTGTCGCCCAGGGGATTGTAGCGATCTATGAGGGAGTTGACGGCGCAGCTTGGGCCGAAGAATTTGGTCGTCGATTTGACGTGATTGTTGCAGTCGACTATCTCGAGACCACCCTCGCGCATTAGGGTGTAGACGGGGGTCACCCAGCCGGCTAGGGTTCCCACCCCCGCGAAGCAAGCCTTCTTGCCGCGGAGATCGCGGAGGCTGTTGACGTCTGGGAGGGAGTCCTTTTTCAGGACCGCTACCGCGTATTGGTGCTTGAGACCGATCGCGTCGAGCTCTTGGGCTATGGGGAGGAGACTGTGGTATCTACCCGCCACGAACACCTCGCCCGCGTCGAGGGTCGTCAGGTGGGCTGTCTCCTTGTCAAGGAGGTCCATGCATTCCTCCTTGTCGAAGGCCTGCTGGCACTTTAGGGAGACGTAGTCGGTGTCGAAAAATTGCTTTTCGCGGTCCACTGCGCGGGACATGGCTGTGCACTTGTCTTGCTCAGCTTTAGAGACTGTGCACCACGTCGCGGTGTAGTTCTGGGGAATGGGGCGACTGTTGTAGTTGTAGGTGTTGAAGTAGGGGTTGTAGCTGTTTTGCCCTGGGGGTTTAGAGTTTTCGGGGGTTATTGCGGTTCG